GGTGGATGCATGCATGCATGGAGTGTGTGTGTGTGTGTTATCGTAGGTCACAAGCTTAAGTCAAATCTTTTTAAACATTTTAAATTAGGCTTTCAAAATAATTGGGCTTTTCAAAATATAAAGGGGCCTAAGGCGTCAAGGCGAGATTACACGACGCCTAGGCAAGCGCCTGAACGCCTTAAGGCTTTCTAGGCGAGGCGAGCAGACTAGGTGTCCAAGGGACAACGCCTTATCGCCTAGGCGACGCCTTACAAACTATGATCTTTATGGTACATGGAGTCTCCACATACTATAAAGGTGGAGTGGTATTAAAGTTACGATTGTTGAAAGCCTATTTACCTGGTGTCTATGCTTTACATAATGTGGTCTAGAGCAAGGAGAAACAAAACCATGTTTTTTTCATAAATAAACCAAACTGAACTTTATTAAAAACTTAAAGAAATCCGAAATACAGAAGCAAACCAAAGAGCAGGGGAGCCCAACAGAAGCCAGCCCCTCAAGAGGAGGACACACCCTCCTAAGGTAAAGAAAAAGGAGAAAGGGGTAACAACAGCCACGTAGGAGGACCAAGACATGCCTACTGGCAGGACCAAGCACACCTCATGACAGGTGGGGTGCATTTCTTGAGGCATTTCTTTAGGAAATTTGGTATTTACTGTGAGGAATGTAAGGGCCCCACATGATCTCGTGTGCCTTGAAGTAAGCAACTTGTGTTTTCTTCAAGTGAAAGAGATTCATCAATAGCGCTTCTTAAAATGGCATTGGGATCCACCTATTCACAACACACATCAGGATTGGATGGAATGCTGTTGGGGGATTCGTTCAGTGTACAAACTTCGATAGCATCGGCATTCTTGTCTAAAGGGTGGGCAGGGACTATGACCAAAGGCTCAACATCCATGATAGCAAAATCTATTTCCCTTCGTAGTATTCATACTACTAGAAACAATATTAGTAGTCAAATTCTTTGAGACAACAGGGGCTTTAGCCATGGTACCTATAGGGGGTGTAATCTCAGTAACCGGACAGGTTTTAGCCAATATACCTGTTGGATGACTATTTACCACACCGTGAGTTTCTAGAGGAGAGTGCTTTTTCCAGTACATCCCAAGGTTCTTGGTCAACGGGGAGGATAGAGGTAGATTGCCCACTGGGCTTAAGTGGCTGAGGATCCGTTGGTACAAAAGTGAGGTTCTTCATAGCATGGCCTATTCCTCCTGCTACTCATACTCCTTCCGCTGTTCTGACTGACTGGAACTTTCAGGGACACCAATGGCTCAACAAATTTCCCTTTTATCAACCGTTCAAATTCCTGGATTTCAGTTACGTGTAGTGTTCTAAAAAGCACTCAGAGGACTAGCTCTTGGGGAAGATTAAGTGGCACATAGGCAGGATCAAGTGTTCATTTGATAAAGGAATTGGTAACTAAGGTGATCCTATCAAGTAGCAACTATTAAGTGGTTTTCAGGTATAGAAGATTAAATTATGGTATACACAATACAGAGTATGATGTAGAGAATTTAATTAACAATTAACATGCTATGTAGCTACATGTCATATTATTTGCTTCCTGAATCACAAAGTAAATGCTTAGTTTCATTGCTGGTTGTAGTGAATTCACCTTCATTTCGTCAAACTTGTCTGTTTAATCAGTATAATCCTCCTTACATTTGGATGAATACTTGATTTATGTTCATCCATTGTCTTTGTTTGTAGGTTGTGAATCTAGTTGAGAGAATGGTCAAATGGTTGAGAGTTGGTGGGTACATATATTTCAGAGAATCATGCTTCCATCAATCTGGAGATCACAAGAGAAAGAACAATCCAACTCATTATCGAGAACCTAGATATTATACTAAGGTGCCAAATATATGCTCTTTTTACCTGCAACCTGCATTGACTCATTGAGGTTTAGGAAAAAAATTGTGTTTACTCTCTTTGAATGAATTTCTCGTGTAACTCTCTACGAATTAAGTATCTGATAAAGAGACTAGATACTTTCATCAAATCTGGGACTTCTTTACCAAACAAAAAATTGTATTATGCCTAGTTGTTCAAGGTTTGACCTCATTTCGTATTACCTAAGTACTTAAAACATTGTGCTTGTTTTGGCAAAAAGCTAATTTGACTGCAATTGCTGAAGTAGCTGGAGTTTTCGTAATTGTGGTTGATATCAGTGAAGTTGCTGGAATTGCTGAGTTGTGAATTTTTGTGTTAAATTCTTGTATTTTATTGATAAAGTGAAGGCAGAAAAAAATGAAAAAAAGGCAGGTGAACCTCATCCATTTCAGCCAAAGTCCATTCAGCTCTACCTTTTAATTACTCCGTACTAGCTAATTCAGCAGGCACAGTCAAAATAAATTACTCCGTAGAAAATAACTAGCTTCAAAGGCTGAAAGGCCAAAAAGGTGGCTACCTTGACAGCCACTAAGAACCTGTTCTTTAGAGTTTGAACTCTTAACTTCCAGTTTCTTCTAGTTCTTTCTAGTTTCTTTCAGATCATTCCAGTTTTTTCCATTTCTTTCCAGTTTCTTCCAACTATTTTTATTTTCTTCAAACTCTTTCTACTTTCCGACAAATCACTCAAAAAACAATATATTATTATTATTATTATTATTATTATTATTACAACTATTATGTTCATAACTATAGTTTATAAATTATTACATTTTTTCATCTCACTATTTTTATGATTCACCCTTATTTAATATTTTTCTTCAACTTTTTAATATGAATAATACCATTTTTTTTGGAAGTCAATTTATACAAATAACAAAAAATTTATACTTTATTACTATATTTTTTCTCTTTTATATTTATTTAAAAAATTAATTTTGTTTTTTCATTTTTCTAATTTTTATAAAAAATCTTGAAAGTCAAAGTACTTTAGAGAAAATGACTAAAGTAGGAGTAAAACATAAAAAAATATTAAAACAAGTTCTGTGTCTTTATTCCAGAAGTAGGGTTACAATGAAAATAAAATGTCAATCATTAAAGAAAAAATAGGTTTGATTACATTATGATATTTAAAATAAAATCTTGTAAAATATAAAATATAATTGCAAGTATATTATTTTATGATAAATACTGCATAGCCATAATAACTTTTAAGTATTTAACATTTTGATATTTATGCTAATTTTATAATAGTAATAATAGTAATAATAATAATAATAATAATAATTTATAGCAACAAGAATTAGAATGAGAATAATATAAAAACACACAAATTTTTTTTTAAAGTTTTTTAAGATTTTCTAATTTTTTCTAGATTTTTTATTTTTTTTAATTATTTCCAGTTTCTTCCAATTTCTTCTAGTTACTTCCAGTTTCTTCTAGTTCTTCCAGTATCTTCCAACATCTAGCTTTTTTTTCCAGTCCTAAAGAACATGCTCTCTTGCATTTGTAGCTAGAATTCTTATGTTGGTCATGTTAGTTACTTTTCTTCACAACACTGCCTAACATTTTGTCCCCCCCTCCCTCCAAAATGCGATTCATGTGTTTGTGATGTGTTCCTGATCGACTGATATCCATAGGTTTTCAAAGAATGCCATTCGAATGCTGCCAAAGGAAAATCTTTCGAACTTTCCCTTGTAGGATGCAAATGTATTGGAGCTTATGTACGGAACAAGAAGAATCAAAATCAGGTGAAGCTTTACTGCTTCTATATGTTATATGTGGCCTTGATTTTCATGATTTATTTTATCTAATCTGAAACATGTGCACTCGTGCTATTTGCAGATTTGCTGGACATGGCAGAAAGTCAGTTCAGAAGATGACAGGGGATTTCAGAAGTTCTTGGACAATGTCCAATATAAGTGCAGTGGAATTTTACGATATGAACGTGTTTTTGGAGAAGGCTTTGTGAGCACCGGAGGGCTTGGTATGGCTTATGAACCAAACTCACACACCTAATTGTAGATGCAGAGTATTGCATTTTTTTCTTCTTTTCTGATTTTCTTCTTATTCTTGAACAGGCACGACTAAAGAATTTGTCGCCAAATTGAATCTCCAGCCTGGCCAAAAAGTCCTAGATGTTGGATGTGGCATTGGTGGAGGTGACTTCTACATGGCTGAGAACTATGATGTTCATGTTGTTGGCATTGACCTCTCTATCAACATGATCTCTTTCGCTCTTGAGCGTGCTATTGGTCTCAAATGTGCTGTTGAATTTGAGGTTGCTGATTGCACCAAGAAAGCATACCCTGATGGCACGTTTGATGTGATTTACAGCCGTGACACCATTCTTCACATTCATGTATTCTCTTGCACACATGCGTTTTTACTTTTTACTCCTGCAAGTCTATGAGACATAAAATCTTGTGTATTTGAAAAGAAAAGAGTTTGTTTTTATAAAAACAATGTTTTCTAGTTTCTTGAACATTAAGCGAGTGGGGGCCTTTTTTTTCCAGGACAAACCTGCCCTTTTCAAGTCTTTTTATAGGTGGCTGAAGCCAGGGGGGATAGTTCTCATTAGCGATTACTGCAAAAGAGCTGGAACTCCATCAGAACAATTTACTGAATATATTAAGCAAAGAGGATATGATTTACATGATGTGGAAGCATATGGCCAGGTATGTATTTGTTCTTAGAATGAGTCCTTCAAAGGTTTTTTTTCTATTTATGCAATTAATAGAAACAACCTAGTAAAATTCCAATTTCGTTGGGCTCCGAGGGTCAAGATGTATAATGTATTGCTAGATTCGCTGCCCAAAAATTCATAGAAAGCATCAAGGGAGTTTTAATGTGCACGTTTTTTTATTTAGTTCATCATGTGCCATAAACCAAAACATTGTCAATGATGACTCTTTTAGCTCCATTAGCAATAAACAGATTATGTGATTAATACAGTATGCATTAAACAACTGTTCTGACTGTGTTCTAAACAAACAGATGCTCAGAGATGCAGGGTTTAATGATGTCATTGCTGAGGATCGAACTGATCAGGTAATTGTTAAAATGGTTAAGATATGACCGGTTTTGATCAGAGACTAAGCTGATCTACTAAACATTGCTCTCTGCTGTTTTGTACAGTTCATCAATGTACTTCAGGAGGAGTTGAGATCTGTGGAGAAGGGAAAGGAAGAATTCATGGAAGAGTTCTCTGAAGTGCGCTCCCTCATTTCTTGCAGCCTTTTATATAGTCTCCTACTTCCTTTAACCCTACACGGAACTAATCATACCATTTTCCCACGATGAACGTGCAGGAGGACTACAATGAAATAGTCGGAGGGTGGAAGGCGAAGCTGGTCAGGAGTTCATCCGGCGAGCAGAGGTGGGGCCTGTTTGTTGCCCGGAAGTGATGTCATCAGTGAAAAAACATTGCATCATATGGTCAGTTCGTGTTTGTTTTTTTTTAATTATTTATTTTTCCTTGCTCATCACAATGATGCAATAGCTTCATTAGTTGTTTGACCGCAATAAGAATACGGAGTACACAATTTATTGTTATATGCATTGTTTGAAAAGATGGAATGTTACAATAATAAGCAATGTGATTCTTTTGTTGAATGTTGTGTTTTTCACCATTGCGTTTGGTCTCTGCCTTTTGGCCTTCTTTAGGTCGATGTGGAGGCTGCATTTGATGCATTGATACTAGCATATTCTCATCTCATTTTTTTTGTAATTATTTGTATTTTGGAATGCCTTGTCTCTCGTAAAATACTTCCCTTATTAAAAAATGACTCCTTTCAATTTTGTGCTCTTCAATATCCTCATTGCGTGTATTAGACCTGGAAATCAGATCAATCGGATTAAATCTGGTTTGAATATCTTCTGGAATCTGGATATATGTTATAATTGTTTTGGTTTGAATCTAATTCAGTTTCATTCTTTTTGGGTTTTGATTGGGTTCTGGATCGGTTTATACAGTTCCTATATAGATCAATTAACACAGAGCTCTGTTTTTGGTAACGGCGGGTTAATGAGTTTTAGACTATCGTTAAGTTGTTAATGAAAATTTTAAATTTTAAATTAAAATTTCAACAAAATTAAAAAATGAAAATTCATCGAAAATAATCTCAACTTTCATTTTGTTGCGCAAAATAGGTCGTTACTGTTAACTTGTCGTTAGTAATTTAACGGCAACCCAAAGTTTACAAATTTTAGTAAAGTTGGAATTATTATGCATCACATTGAAAGGTAGATTATTTTTAAAGACCAGGTAAACTTGTGATTATTCTAGACAATTTTTCTTTTTTTTTTAAACAGGGGGACTTAAGAGTCTTTTCGATAAAATCTGTGTTGCCTCAACGTAAGACAATCCTTAGTGAAAGGGGTGATCGAAGGGGCAAATTTTTCCATGAGCTTATGATCCATGCTTATTTATGGACCTTTGTGTGTTTGTAGCATAAAAAAATAGGTCTTTTACAAGAGTAATGCTTATATAGTCTCCAGTTTCACATTTAAAATGTGAATCTTCTCACATTTTTCATGGACTTACATGTGAATATTTTCTTTTTTGCAAAGGCGCACTTTTTTATACTACAAATACACTAAGGTCCATTAAATGAGCATGTACCTTAGGTCCATCCTACGAAAGAATTTGCCATTTTGCAAAATAGAAAATATCAACATCCAAGCCATAAAAATGTAAAAAGATCAACATTTTAGATGTGAACCTTGGAACAAGTATCACTCTGATCGAAGGTGGGTTGTGGGAGCACACATTCTGGTGTGGATCCAAGGTCGTTGAGGCTGTAGCCGCGGTCAAATCGAACAAAAGAAGTTACGGGAGCGGATTCCATAGTCGTGCTCGGTCCACCGAAGGTGATGATTGGAGTGGACCCATGGTCACACTCGATCCAAAGGGGGCAATGGTCGGAGTGGTGTGCCCAACATAGCCACCCAATCCATCCGAAGTATTCATAACCGGAGTCTCGAAACTACTTATGTTTCCGGTGTGAGCGTCATAATTGAAATCGTCCATACTTGCCATCATGCACGAAGATGCTACTACCTTAAGATTGTTACAATTCTCGTACGGATTACAAGGGACTGATATGATGAACGACCCTGGAAATAAATTTCTGAATTTATAATTTATTCAGAATATTACAAAATAAACAAACTGAGAAATAACTTTTTGGATCTTCTAAAGGACTTGCAGTACGTGGACATTATGTACTAGACTGCAATGATATTATGCACTGGCTGAGGTAGTAAGCCTGTGACGAATTCATTGTGAGTAGTGGCGAGATCACTCGAGCAGGAGCGAGGACAAAATGGATAGAACCAAAACACCTGCGAGGACATTACGGCCTGGGCAGAATGCACCGAGGTGACTTTAAACTGAACCTCCAAAAACAAACATCGTGGAAGGACAGAGTCGTTGAAGCTGTCGTTAAGGTAGTGGTACCCGCCTAATGTATCGTGAAAATATGGGCACTCTCCTTCTAGGGTAAAACCGTTATCCTGTGTGGTGATAGTACAAACCAACCACGCACCAACGAACAAGAACAACCTCGGAACGTTGGCGACCAAAAATTTGAAGGGGATCACCGGAAAACCAAAAGCTCTCTCTTAGAATAATGAAACTTTTTTTCTTTCTTTCTTCTCCTCTCCCATGTATGGATCACTCAAAATAATGAGAGGAGCCCCTTGATTTTTATCTAAGCAGTTTTTAAAATGTAACATATATACATTACTACTTAGTACTAGACTATGACATTTATGGTACACTAATGATGTGTTAATGGTGATTAAATAGCCATTAACACGTCCGTTAAAATTGCCCCAAATAATTGAAGATTAATGATCATTTAAATACGCAAAAATGGAGTAATTTTTAACAATGTGTAAAAAAATAGTAGAAGATTGGTTCAACAAAATTATAAAATTGTAATCCTTACCTAATTTTACTATTAACAGGTGAACTTTGAGAATGACATTCTCATTCACATCTACCATTTTTGGCGTATAAATTATCAATTTTTTTATCTCATTTAAGAGAACATACGTTTATTAAATTATCAAAATCGTTAGTTAATCTATCGATAAACATACCCAAGTTGGTTTATTTAATGCTAATTAAAATATGCCAAAAACTCTAACGCATGCCCCCCGATGGCCTTGTCCAGCCTACGGCTGGTGTTGAGATGAGGAAGATGATCGTCTTTTTAATATAGTACCGATTTATACAAAACACAAAAAGTAAAAATAAATTAAAACATTGTCGTTTTGGAGAGGGTAAAAACAAAAATTGTTGAAAAAATTTTCCGTATGGAAATTTTTTTTATTTGACTTTTCACGATCTCCAATGTTATAACTTGAACATTAATAATAATATCTATATTTATACATAGATATATTTAAAAAAAATGATATTTCAAAACTACGTTTCAATAAGAATACTCCATATATTAATATAAAATTTATATCGCAATACTATTTATTTTTTGAATAGAAAGTTTGGTGAAGGAGGGAGCACTTTCTACTACCTACAATCATACTTGGAATGCTTCTCCACTCGGTCGGCAGCCCCTAAACTGCTCAAGTTTTGTCTCAATTCTCTCAAATTAGACGCTTGCGCCGCCGGTGCCGTTCCAATGTGCCATCCAAATTCGGCAGCCGCTGCCGCCGTCCATCCCCAATCAGTCCCTACCCACAAGCGGTGTTTTTAGCATCAGACATCAGGTTTTAATGTTTTTGTTAATTGCTTTTACTTTTATGTTTTAATTATTGAATACTCCGTATTTGTTTAAGTAATTTTGATTATGTGTTTTGGTTGCTTTTGGAACAAATGATTATTAAGTTCGTCATTTGTTAAATTTGCAATAAATTGTTGTGTTTAATTAATGATTTATTATTGTTAGTGTTAATTTGTTATTTTATTATGTTATTAGGAATTCTTGATATTGTTCTTTACTTCCTTTTTGGAGACTTAGAGAGATTATTAGGGATTACTACGCATTTAATATCCATTTTCCCATTTATTTTGGTTTTATGTTCAATAAAACGAAGGTTTTCGCTCAATTTAAAAGCATCTAAATTATTTTTTGTCGTTTCATATTATCTTAAAAAAAAAACACAGGTCGGTTTCGTTCTTGGTTTTTTAGATATGAAGAAAATGCATTCATATTGTTCTTGATTTTTTCTATTAAGAAAAACAGGGTTCTTTACCTTTTTTCTTGCTGTAGCATGTCCACACTTTATTAACTTACTAACTTTCCTGTTAGTGCAGTTATATATCAATGCTGAGGAGGAGGAGGAGGAGGAGGCATAATGACTGTTGGGACAAGTTTCAGAGGCACCTTCTTTCTGGTAGCCAGCCCGAAAGTCTCGGTCAAGTCCACGTCGTCTGGGCCCACTCCAGGTGGCAGTGTCCAGTCAAAGTGATAGAGCAGACGAGCCAGCGCGAGCTGAATCGTTGCCAGTCCCAGAGCGTAACCGGGACAACCCCTTCTTCCTCCTCCAAACGGCAGAAACCTGAAATCTTGACCCTTGAAGTCGATATCTTGCTCCAAGAACCTCTCAGGATAGTACGCTAAAGGGTCGCCCCACGAATCCGGGTCCCTCCCCATGGCGTAGGTGTTGATTAGGACCCTAGTTCCGGCAGGTATTTCGTACCCATCAATGGTGCATTTCTCCATGGATTCTCTAGGAACTAGAAGAGGAACGGGCGGGTGGAGCCGCATGGTTTCCTTGATCACTGCTTTGAGGTAATTGAGGCGTTGAAGGTCACTCTCTTCTACTCTCCCTTTGTTCCCTATGGCCTTCCTTACTTCATCTTGTGCTCTCTTCATCACCCTTTCGTTCCTAGCCAGTGATGTCATCGTCCATTCCAGCGTTGATGATGTCGTGTCTGTCCCGGCCACAAACATGTCCTACAACACGCATTAAATTAGGCAGAAATAGATAGTTAGATAGTCTGACCATGTGATTAGTAAATAATAATATAAATATATAGTGAAATTTGCACTAAATAGTACTAAAACATATCTCCTTTTCCAATATAGTACTTGAATAATATCTAGTGGCAGTGGATATTTACTTGAACAATGTCCAGTGGCGGTGGACATTTACTTGAACAATGTCCAGTGTACATTGAACAATGGTACTACATTGATAAATTAAAACATTTGATACTACATTGGAAAACTTAATATGTTTTAGCACTATATAGATAAATTCCCCAAATAGATATGCTGGAGAGTGAGAGTCTGAGAGAGAGATACCAGCACAAGAGCCTTGAGATTGTCATCAGTGATGGGGATTTGAAGGTCATTTCTCTTCTGAATCCTGAGCAGAACATCAACAAAGTCTTCTCTGGTTCTATCCATCCTCCCCAGGTGATCATCTATGATGTCATCACACACCTCTCTCAGATCCTTCAAGTTGTTCATCAATCTCCTCTTCATCCCACTGACCAAATTGACCCACTCCCACCTGGGAAAGAAATCTCCCAGGCAAAACCCGGCGAGCAACGCCTGCGTCTCCGTCAAAACACCCACCAAGTCGCGCTTCCTCTGCGCATCACCATCGCCTATAAACCTCTTCCCAAAGGCCATCCTACAAAGGACGTTGTTCGCCAGGGCAAAGAAAAGCTCACTCATGTCCACCCCAGATTCAGAATGACCGGACACGGGCACGGACACGGACACGGTCTCCACCAATCGTCCCACCTCCTCATCTCTAATGACCACGAAAGACTCAACCCGCTTCGAACTCAACAACTCTGTCACACACACCTTCCTGGCTTGTCGCCAATACGGTCCGTGTGGGGAGAAAGTGATGTCAGAACAGCCAAACGACAGACACCGAGCCGCAACGAGCTGTGGCCTGCTAGCAAAGACGTGGTCGTGGCTCCTCAGGATCAGTTCGGCCAGCCGAGGGGAAGAAACGACCACGGTCGGGACTTGGCCGAGCTGCAGGTGAAGTATGGGGCCCAGTTTCTTGGCAAGATGCGCGAACGCGTGGTGGGGCGGCATGGTGGAGAGGAGGTGGTGGAGGTGGCCTATGACCGGCAGCCGCGGCGGTGATGGCGGGGCGGGTTGTCGTCCCTTGCGGGGCCGACGCAGGATGATGATGGTAGTAGCTATGGCCAATGTGAAGAGTGTTGTCACACAGAAGAGGTTCAGGGCAGTGGAGTTGTCCATTCTTTCTTTCTTTCTTTCTTACTTTCTTATTGTTTGGAATGAAGAATAAATGTAACACTCCCTAAAACTTCTCCTTTCTTTTTTCATCCGTCCCAAAAAAACACTTTCCATTTCCTTTTAAAAAGTCACTTTTACCCCTACTAATTCTTAATCTACCTATCACATCACACTTTTTCTCTATTAATCTATCCATCGCATCAAAGGGCATTTTTGGAAAGTCAACACCAAAATACACTTCCCTTAAATCCTTAAAAAGTCAAAACTGAAACTTTTTTAAGGGACGGAGGGAGTAAGAGATTGGGACGTTTACATAGTACGTACTGAATGGATCAATGAAAGTTGACCGGTTGGAAGGTTATGGGTTTTGATGATGTTAGGCTTTTAAAGGCTAAATAAATGCATTTCTAAGAATAGGGAGTTGGGCAGAGGCAGATTGGAGTGTCTGGCCTTTGTTTGCTGCCTTTGTCAATTACTCGTAACTTTCTTCCGAAAGTGTGAACTAATAAAGTCACCAATGTTTTTTTTTTTACATAATACCCCAATTTGTTTTTTTAATTTATTAGTTATGCCCCAAGAAAAAAAAAGCCCTCACTAAAATATGAAATGCCCCCATTAAAAACGAAATTTCCCCAGTAAAAAGATTTTTAAAGTTGGAATTCAAATATTTATCGTGAGGATAAAAGAAATTAAAAAGTGAAATATTTGAAAATCAAGATTATAATTTGAAAATAAGATTTCTTTAGAGAAGGTGAAATTCTAGGGAGTATTTTCAAGACTTTTCATTAATTATTTGAATTATTCATTGAGTTGATTTTTTCCCTTGTAATTTCAAATTGCCTTTTTGGAAAAAAAAATTAATTGGATGAGTTGCCCCTGAACCCCGTAATAGCCTCCGGTCTCTTCGATTCATGGATTCCCCATTCCTCGTATGAGTCATTTTTACATACATGACGTGCATTAATTTCATATTTTAAATGATTGGGTCAAACTTTTTTAGTCTATCCAAATCAATCTTCAATCACAATTGCTGGGGGAAAACACGGTTAACTCATTGTCAATTCAACTTCTACTCCATAAGGCATCAAACAAGAAGAGTCAACTTGTACGATTTGAGCTAAAACGACAAGTAAATTGATCTGTATTAGCCGTATCAGCCAAAAAAAAGAGCATTATCATTATTCATTATTTGTGATAATTTGCAACTTAATTAGATTTAAAAGTTGTGCAACAACCAAGTATGACGATTTTTTTTCTCGCGTAGTTATTTTTTCCTCTGAACAAAGACACGTAAACTCTTCCATTCCACAAGAAAGTAACATAAAAAAATCGTTACGAAACGTCACTCCTATAACTCACCTACACCTCTTTCATGCAATAGTTCTAATTTAAACACAATAGTTTTATGAATAGAGCAGAGAATTATGGTGAGGTGCAACTTGCAGAGAGTGGGGCTGAGGTGGGAATTGGAGGTATGAACCATCAATTTTATGAATGAAATACCACACCCACAAAAATGAAATACATCAATTTCATAGGTATGAACTATACATTGATTATTGAAATTCTCATATGTGCGCACACACAAAATGCATTTTCAATAATTACATGAAGTTTGATTGGGAAATTCAATTTTGGAGGTTAAAATCAAAATTTAGCATAAACAATTGTAAGAATAAAGAACTCATTTCAGAAAATATAGAGGACTAACATAAATGAATCTTGAGTTGTGGCAAAAAAACACAAAAGTACCAAGAGTCGGAGCCATCCAAACACCTCATGAATCGAATGCTTGCATCTAAAAACGATTGACTTTCTTTTTTTGCATATCATGTTTTCATTTGGGCAACTTATTGAATGCCTCTTTTGCTGTCCCTAAAATGGAGCAAATTCACAATGTAACTTTATTTAATTTGTTAGATCATATAATTGAAATGTTCATTTGTTATTTCTTAAAATAAAACTTAATTGATAGTTTATGAAACTTATTTGAAAAGCTACTTAAAATATGTACATAATATTCTCAATCTTGTCCATGAAGCCTTCCAAGAAAACAAAGCTTATATGAAAATGTTCTAGAAAAAAGAAAATAGTTAGCCCAAATGCTAGTCAATGATTGGGAAAACATGGTATGATTATAAGCTACTTCTTAAGCCAAATGATAGTAGCTATTGTAGTTAGTATAGCTTATAGAATAAAAGAATAAGATGGATTTTAAGGATACAACAAAAAAGACTCACAAATATCTGCCAAGGTGTGGTAAAAGAACACAATTAAAATAATTCTATGTATAAAATGAGGCTATAATAAGAACCTAGACAGTTGTTATAGATTATACTGCAATAGCTAGTCCTAATCCTAGAAGATGACCACTCAAAAATTTTGTAGAGCTTATCTGCACACGCAAAAAAAATATACATTCCGAAAATACATTATATTTAAAAATAAAAAAGGAAAATATCTAAATAAAATATTAATAGACTTAACAAAGACTAGACCTCTGCGTACTGGCCAAGACACAAAAGAAGAGCTTAGAGCCTAGAGCTCTTAGAAATAAGTCAAATAACCATATTAAGTAGATATGTGCTACACATTTATATACTTTCCATCACCCCTGCACATATCAGATAGAGATATGGTTTTCCTCATAACAACGAAAAACAAAATAAAACATATAAAGGTATACTATAAACTCTCGATATCTAATCCACACAATCATTTGCAAAGGAATTTAGTTGGAAAGAAAATCTCATTATAAATTGAGCCACTTATAGATTGGAACCAAAAAATATCTGATAACTTACCTAATGTAGCAATGCATCTTCTTGGCCTTAAAGTAGTGAATGAAGAAAAGAACCCCTATGAGAATATGAAAACATTAAGCTAAATCTGTTTGACCTACTGCAAGTAATAACCTCTTTGTTTCAATCACGCTCCCTTCTCTTAATCTACCTGCACACTCCCACATTTTTAGTCCAAAAATACATTAAAATGCATTTTTAGCAAACAATAGTGAGAACATGATTTGAAGCCAAAAACTATTCATATTACATACAGTGTGACAATAAATAAGGATAAAAATTCTTTTGATCTTTATATTTCAAAAATTGCCTACTAAGGCAACACCATTTTTAAAAATCTGCTACAATAAGAAAAAAAATAAAAAGATAAATGGCATTAAAAGATAAAATTAAACCACAAAGCAAACGTGGTAAAATCTCACATTGATAATTTTAAAAATTTTAATAAAATTAAAACAAATATCTAAATTAAAAAATGTAAAAAAAGAATTATTATTTCTATTTTTTAAAGATAGAATTTAAATTGACTAGAAATAGATAAATATTAAATATAAATAATAATGGTGTAATCAACTAGATCACTTTGAGTGTTAAGTGAGTATGAAGGTGAGTGGAGCTTGCGATGATTTGATGTTGAATGACTATTGGTTTGGAGTAACTTTTGGTGGAACACTATAGGTACCTTAATGGTGGAAGAAATTCAACCAAATTTAAAAATTCTAGTTGAATTTGGCAGTCACATTTTTAAAACTTTGACTACAAATTAAGAAAAAAATGTCGAACTATGATATAATTTTAATATCAATAGATTTATTTTGAAACATAGTTTTTAAGTAATACATTTTTATAATGGAAAAATACCAAAATAAAAGTAAAATATGGAAAAAGTATCAAAATATGAGTTTCATATTTTTTCACAAAAGTAGGAGTTACAATGTCAATAATGTCAATATATAATACCAAAAAACATTATGAAATAATAATATACACTTTCATAATGTCACAATGTAAATTCTTATTTAATGGATAAAAATATGTAACTCATATTTTAGAGATAAAAGTTATATTTGACTTGTATTTGGGGTGATTTATTTTTTATTTACTTATCTTTAAAGTGTTGAATGGAAAATAGCTAAAAGATCAAGAGTGGTCTATGGTGCACCTTGGATAAATATCATTTTTGTAGATCTTCTCACATAATTTTTTTTTAAAAATAAATGCTTATTGATGTAATAAGAAAATAAAGGTCTATGATAAGGGAGAAAGACCAAAGTAGGACTAAAACATTGAAAATATGCCAAAATAAGACTTCCATGTTTTTATTCCCGAAATAAGACTTCCTTGTTTGGACACTAGCAGTTGGCAGTTGGCTGTTGGCTGTTTATGTTAGCTCGTTTGAATGGCTGATTGAGTTAGCTGTTTTGACCGCCTGTTTCTGTTAGCAGTTAAATTTTAAGTGTTGGGCAACTTTAGCTGTTTATAGTTAGCTGTTTGTAAGTAAAATTACATAAAAGGACATCCCTCCATTTATGGTTTATTTTATTTTACAATTTTTTTAAATATCATATCATAAATATATTTTTTTTAAATTAAAAAAATTAAATAAAATTTTATATATATATATATACATATATATATATATACACATATATATACATATACATATACATATATATATATATATATATATATATATATATATATATATATATATATATATATATATATATAGACATGATATTTATTTTTCATTTTTTTACATGTAAAAATTAAATCTTTACTATATGGAGTATTAAATTTTAATTTCATTTAATTCATAATAAATTATAAATATAAATTTTTTAATGAATTATAAATATAATTTTTTTTAATTTCATTTTATTTTTTTCGTATTTAATTTTTTTAACTTTTATTTTTATTTTTATTTTTTTTACATATATTATAAAATATCTTTCAATAAAAATGATTTTGAAAAATTTATTTTTCCTAACCGCCAAGTCCAAATGCTACTCCCCTTGGCATTTCAGATTTTGGCTTTTCGGATCAAAATGCCAAGTGAAAAAGCCATTAGCCAAACAATGGTTTTGGCGGTTTGCTTGGTCAGAAAAGCCAAAGTCAGTCAAAAATGCCAAAAACTATCTCAAATGCTGTTTTCCAAACACGGTCATGGTCATATACATTACCAAAAAAGTATAGTAATGTGCACATGTACACTGCCACATTACCACAGTGCAAATTCACATCACCACAGTACAAAGTCCTATTTTGAGAAAAAACATGAAAGTCTTATTTCGATACTTTTCTCTATGTTTTAATCCTATTTAGGGTAATTTCTTCTACGATAAACCTTAGTTCACAATTTCTTAGGTTCACAATTTTGACAAAAAATGAAAAAAAATTGTAAACTTAAGATGGAAGGGTGTAACATTTTCACGACAATTCTCCTTGTGTGCTGCATCTTCTTCATCTTTGTTACCAGCATTTCTCTAACATGCGTTGAGCGAAAAAATTGACGTTCTGCCGATCTTTAACGAGGAGAATAATCGCGCACAATCAGACGCCCATGGCTCAATGGATCTCCTCCAAGCTCAAAGTTGCCGAGAATATTCTCCAGCAGGTACTATGTATCGATTTATTTTACTAGAAAATATTACGTTTTTTTCCTTACGGTTAGAAGAAATATGTTTCGTCTACGGTTTTGCTGTTGTTCGGTGAGAATTTAAATATGTTTATTGTTCTTGATTTGTTCTTCGTCGGCTTAGATTGATCAGCAAGCTGCTGAATCACTTAAGAAGGGAGAAAAACCCAGACCTGAAGGCTTAGATGTTGGAATCTCGACCACATCTAGTCAGAGGAAGCCATTGAAGGACCAGCTTAAGAAGAAATCTTCTGAAATCAAGGATTTTAGTCAAAAGCTGCAGGATGGAAATTTGGATGATATTAGCACCGAGAAAAGCAAGAATAATGCTACTACCTATAATAAACACCAGGATGTTTTTCCACCAAAAAGCTTGAGTGCTAAGCAGGGCACGAATGCTAGTACCCTTACTGACACTGATTGGACAGAATTGCTGAGTGTTCCGAATAAAAGTCCATCTAAAGGTGTTGCTCGCATTAGCAATAGAGTTGGAGGGGTTCGGGGTTTGAAGAAGGATGGTCTGGCTCAAGGGAGTTTAGGTTCTAGTTTGCCAGCATTAGATGGAAAAATGAGCCAGAAGGCTCATGATAATGTTTTGAAGAGCTTAAGAAAGTCGGATGGTCAATTAGGGGATAATGGGATTGATAGCGGGCTGTGTGGAAGATCGAGTGACGGAGTAAATGTGATGTCAGGAAGCTCAAGTTCCGAATTTAAAAGTGAGGGGGACAGTCCAGATAGAGGTTATCGTGATGGAAGAGATGAGGGTTCAGACCTTTTGCACGGGAACAATGGTGAGAAGAATAGAGCAATGAATGCCCAAGTAGATGTTGTTAAAGATGGAGATATCAGATGGGAGAGGGGCCTCTCTATTGGGATGGACTCTGTCACTACTACCGGGGACTCAGATCCAAAAATGCAGCTGAATGATGATCAGAGGTTTAAAAATGGATCAAAAGTGAGTTCTCGGACTTCTCTGAAGATAATCTCTTCCTCACCAAGTGATGGAGAATCAGACTCTGAGACAGATTCAGCATCTTCATCAGGCTCTGAAAGTGAACATGAAAGAGAAGAAATGACGAAAAGAAGGCAGCAGATTCTGGCAGAAAAAGCAGCTGCAAAAGCAGTTGAAGCTATAAGAGATCGTGAGGATATGGTAGCTAAATTGGAAGGGGAGAAGCAGAGTTTAGAAAAGATACTCGACGTGCGGGCTAAAGAACAAGCGCAAGAGGTAAGCATAAGGCATAGCTCACACAGATTTTTCTTCCCGGCTTCTAATTTTGGTGTTACTGACCTATATGTTTGAAGTGTTTGAAACAACTTTCTACACTATCTCTGCTATGAGAAACATTTTCCATATGAAGCTCTGCTCTTAAGCGTATTGATGCAGCCTTGACCTACACTTTTTTTCATGTCTTGAAAAAACCAGACTGACTGGCCAGAAAAGGTAAAAACCAACCAATTCAATCCGGTCCGGACTGGTCTAATGCTGAAAATGGTTTAAATCCTTCTCGGCTGCTACCAGACCCAAACCATGACTGGTGCTGATGTTTGAAAAGCATCAGTATAATGTTGGGTATTTCAAGTTGCTTTATAACACCATAGTTTTGAAGCTACAACAGTTGAATTTTACCAGCCGTTTTAAGCAAAAAAGCAATGTAGCTTAAAGCCACAATTCACAACAATGCCAAATTGGGCTATCAGAACTTCCATGATTGGGAATTAGTTATAATTGGGGAAACATGTTAAACATATGCATGTGGACCTATTTCATACTGATCATTCTCTTGAACCTCTTCACGAACCCAACAATTTTCATTATTATAACTATCGCTTTCTGTGAGAATTTTATTGCTGGTAAGTGCATGATATCCTTTTCAATGGATTGCCCTTCTATAAAACATATTATTTCTAATAACTGCTGTTTGTCTTCTAGGCATCTGAGTTGCAGACAAAAATGATGGAAACAATGGAAGCTGTTGAGTTAGAGAAGCAAAAACACAATAGCACCAGAATGGAAACCCTAGCAAGACTGGCAAAACTAGAGGCACTTCCAGATACTTGTTAATGATGTTCTTTGTTTATATACTGTTCTGTTGATTGGTTCTGGCTCTTCTAATCCATGTTTTAATATTGAATGTTGTGATTATACTCCATACGTCACCTTTTGCAGACTGCTAATGCTGAACTTGCTAAGTCCTTCGCTACTGCACAATGGAATTTTGAAGTAGAGGTATGAATGTATGATACAAAAAGATGGCTCTAACTATGTGTGGAGTTACAAAACAATATTTGATTTTTTGATGTTGAGTAATCTTGAAAAATTTCTTGGTTTGACTCCTTTGAACCGAGAAATTATTGACCCCCATTTTTCTTTTCTTGAGGTGTGAAATCTTTTATGAGTTTTACTACCTTAATGCACATGGCACCAATGTCATCATTTTATCACACTCTTTAAGTGGTTTGGTGGGCGCTTGGGCGGAGAGGGGGGAGGGATATGTTTGGCAGTTAAAGTTTAAGTTTTATGCATCTATTATTTGAGGAAGGGAGACTAAAACATTATGGGCCCATTTGGAAACAACGTTTGTTATTAGCCTTAGAGTTTTGGACAGTTTTTCAATTGTGCAAAAGCTAAAGGCTAGTGTAGTTTTTCAAAAGGGCTAAAGCTATACCATGAAGCTAATGCCAAACAAAGTCTTAGTTGGTGAAAAAAGCTAAATCAACCTGTCAGTCAAACTTATGTTTTTGTTATCATGTGTGCTCATTTGATGGATTTGTTGTGCGTAGCTTTGTTTACTTCTATCTCTTATTGGGCTATATGAATTCGTGTTTTCAGTTATCTAAGTTTTTTTTCATTTGATACTTAGGCTAGTCGAGTTACGGAACTTCGTCAACAGATTGAACTGAAAGAGGCAGCTCAAGAAGGTATAACCCTTGTGGTTGAGCTTAAGTTGTTCCAAGTGCATTTCTTTTGCTGGTAGCTGCTAATTGTTATCAAGAAAGTATTAATGTCACACTAAAAGTCAGGTCAAGCAAGCTGTGGATTAAGAGTCAATCAGGAATTAAGAATAATGAACTAAACCTATTACAAGTTAACAATTAGATCTTCTGTTGTAGATCTAAGAAGGAAGATTTTCCAAACTAAGGGAAGTGGAGAAAGAGTAAGTGATGTCTTTATGTCTATGCATTCAATTATTAGACTATCATTGTAATATCAACTAACTGTACTTGTTTTTTTATGGGAACAACTTACAGTTGGTGGCTTCAAAAGGAGTTGAATTTGAAATGGAGATACTTGAGGAAGAGTACTCTTTTCTTGCAGATAAATTGGGAGCATTGCAAGAAAAGGTGCACTGACTTTTCTTGAATAAAGTTAAACGTATTTTGAGTTAGTCAGTTAGACAACCTTCTGATGAAGAACCTTTGTGCAAGTCCTTAAGAACTGGTATTAAGTTTCTCTATTTTATGAAATGACTTGGTTCAAAATGGCCTCATATTTTGTAATTGACTATTATGGTTTTTGGCTTCACATTCTGGTTATGGTTAAATTAATAGTTTCGTAAGATTTGAATTTTGTGTATGCTACTGATACTGATTAGTAAACTTTGATGCTTAAACCAATACAGGCAAGGACACTACAAACAAGCATTGATTCTACTAAGAGTGAACTGGAGAATCCTACTGAAGTAGAAGTCGAGCTAAAGCGCAGGCTTGGTCAGTTGACTGACCATTTAATTCAGAAACAGGCCCAGGTTTCATTTACAAATATCCATCTTTAACTGAAACCCTATGTTCTGAAATTCTCTTGAAATGACAGTTCTATCGTAGAAGACTGCATTATATTTAGTACTCCTTCCGTCCTCCAATTGGGTTCCCGCCCTCTTTGGATGTTCTCAATTTATGTCCACACTTCCATTTTTGGCAAGGTATTTAAAGACAATAATACCCCTACAAAGTTGCCACTTCCGAAATGAGTTTAACCTCTCACTTCACCAACAAATCTTTAATTGAGGGGCTTATTTGGAAACTCAACACCTAAATTTACCTTCCATAAAAACTTATGAATTCAATTGTGAACTTCATTTGGGGCAGAGGGAGTATATGTCTGGAGGATGCTAAGTGGTTCTGGAAGAGGCTTTATATCAGAGCAGTTACCATGATCTTAACTCTGAGGATCTTGGTTATGATCTTTTAGTTCCTTTCAAGGATTAAGCTTTTTTGAGCTTGATAATTATTTTTAACCTGTGAATTATGAGCCCGTTCATGTTAAAAACAGCAGTCTTGTGTGAGTTTACTTTGAGTTTCAAGTTTTGTTCATTTTTTTTGTGTGGATGTGAGTAATGCTAAACTGACAATTGAATTAAAGGAAAAATGTTATGAATAACCTGAACTTTGAGAGATCAACATTAGCATACAATATTCCCAAATCCCAACTTTGACACATGCAATTTATAAACCCAATTTCACTATAATCCGCTAGTTTTGAATTGGAGCCTAACACTATACTGATCCGTTACCTTTTTGTTGATGTGGCGATTCCCCCGCCCAGATGCCCCCTCCCCTTCTCCGGCGATCCCCTTTTTTTTCTCTGGCGACAAAACCTGACTCCCATACCTCCAATCACTTCTCTTCTCTTTTACGGCAACCAGAAGTTCTCTTCTTACAACCCCAAACACCAACCTAAAATCTCAAATTACCTGATGATCCGATCTCTTCGCTGCTGAGAGAGAGAGAAAGAAAGAAGAAAAGAAAAAAAATATAGGAGATGAAGTCAGTGGGAGAAAAGTCAGAAAACCAAATTGAAGAAAAAATAAAAGGAAAACAAAAGAGGGAAAAATCTAAAATGTTGACCGTCTCAACAAAAGAGAAATGCAGGGAGGGAAAAGTGAGAAAGATTATTGGGGCATGAGGGTTAAATGGGGAGGGTTGGGTTATAGGGTGTCAAGTGGGTTGTTTTTATTAGGGTATGTCCATTCAGTTTTAAAACAGTCTACCGCGACAGTAAAAAAATTAACAGAAGATTACCGGAGCTTAAATATCGGAGCAAAAGTGAATGACTATAATAAAGTTGGGATTGTGTGTTGCATGTATCTATGTTTAGATTAGCATATGTAATTGCTCAAAAATTCAGATTATGGATAGCAATTTTTCCTCAATTAAATTCCTCTCTGGTTCATTTAGGTTGAAGCTCTCTCCTCGCAAAAGGCCACACTGCTGTTTAAAATTGAGGCAAGTTATCACTGTTGACATACACTTTTCTATCTGCATTGGATTTCGGACTAAACTTTGCAATTGGTTTCTTTCCCTCCCAGGCTCTGTCAAAGTCATTGGACGAAAACAAAACAATGCATTCATCCAATATTCACAGTTCATCCTCATCAACCGGCGATCTGGAGCTGGGGGAATGGACAAAACCCAAGTCTTCTTTTGAGGAAAAGGTTCATTCAGGTCAGCGACATTTCTGGTCTTTGGTTTGGCAGTTAGATTACATCTTCTCTGCAGGAGCGTTGTTCCTACGGCGACACTCCAAAGCAAGGACATGGTCACTTGTTTACCTTGCGTTTTTTCACCTGTGGGTTGTGTATATTCTAAGGTCTAATCCATCTGTGTCTGAAGAGGCCACGGGTGCTGCATTCTCCTTGGAGAATATCAATAACACCGCGCGCATCTGATTTGTGCCAATTTTGCCTCATTTAGGTGCACTAAACTCATTGACAAGTGATTGTATGCTGCTGTTATATTGAGTGATTATAGGTAAAAGTTAGGCACATTATATCGTATAGGTACCTACTTTCCTATACATCCAATTAATATTGAAGTATATAACTAGTAAATGTGCATGTGCTGAATATGTACAAAAAAAATGTGCACATTTCTATAATTTCGTTCTTATTTCTTGCATAGACTGGAAGTGTTATTAGCAGCAAAATGAAGTCTTTTTAACAAGGAAATGAGAATTGTGCAATTATTAAATGTATTTCATAGTTTTGAAAGGCGGAAGGCAGGTGAGAGGACCGTTTTTAAGGCGAAAGGCGGGCGGCCAAAAGTGCAAACTTGGGGCATGCACACACATATTTCTTTGTGTTTATAAGTTGGTCAAAACTGCTTATAAGTTGTTTTTAACTTATAAGTCAACAGATGACATATTTTTCTGTGCTTATAAGCGGACTTATAAGCTATTTATAAAACAAAAAAAATAAGTAGGTCATACTTATTTTTAAGTCAATTTTTTCATTTCTCTGTTTTGAGTTTTGACCAAATTACTTAGAAAAATATTCCTCACCTTTTATGAATATCTCCAAATGACTTATATATCATTTAAGCCATTTTATCTATAGAAAAGAATTTTTAACTTATAAATAGCTTATAAATTTAAAACTATTTATAAACAATAAGTCAATAAGCACTAACATAGAAAAACACACAAAATATATAGTGTAGTGCAATTAATAATGTCCATCCCAAACAAGCCATACATCTTAAACAAAACAATTAGAGTAGTTACTATATATGTTTCTCAAAGCCTAATCGTAATCATCATCACTCAAAGAGAAATCCATATTTTCCATCATAATTGATGAAATAAGAGGTTTAAAAATCATTCTCATACTCATCATCGCTCTCCTCTCACTTCTGGTGTTAGCTAAACTTGTCAAGCATACAAAATATGGTAAAAAAGCAGAGGAGACAAGGTAGAGTTGTGTCGATTGACTCAATTCTGGTAGGCATAGTCGCGCTAGGGTGTAAATGAGCCGCATTTAAGATGCTAGCCCTTTCCTCAAAAAAATTGCTAGCCATTTTTTAAAAGGCCCATAGCAGAACCACAGTAAGGCGAGAAAAGCGAACGCCTGAGGCAAGAGAAGTGAGGGGTTTGGGTTTAGGCGAGAAAGGCGGATGGTGCCTTGCCTGAACCTCTATAGGTGGTAGGTCGCCCAGACGCCTGAGGCGAGGGAGGCGATCGCCTTTTAAAACTATGATGTATTTACATAAATTCATAATGTACATGAATATATACACACATATGAATGTGAAATTAATAGTGTAATATGTAAATGTGCATATGTACATGAAAAATTGTATGATATGTAAATTTGTGTTCATTCCAATTTACTAAAATTTTATTTGTTTAAGTTCTTCTAAGTTAAGAATTGGAATAGTATGACCTGAGGCATTGATTTCCATCAATTTAGCAAATTCTATGGCGCATCTAAAGATTCATGGATAAGCATGTTCACAATGTTATGATAAACATTTATTAATTTATTTATTTAATTAATTTTCTAAATGTTATCGAGCATAGGAACGTTTGGAGATCTAAGACTAGGATAGTTGGTAGTCTTCTAGGCCTTAGTGGAGGTCTGTTTTTTGCTCGTCCGAGTCGTCTCTATGTGCTTTGGGTTGGTTGGGCGTTTATTGTCCATGTGTGATTTCTTAATGCTGAATTTGTTACGGAGTTTTTATTCTTTGCATCCTTCATTCCTTCGAGACTTTTTGTTGTTGTTGCATTCTTTAAATATGTGGGATAATAAATACGGAGTATTTTTGGGTATATTTTATTTAACATGCGTTCTAGACTCGTCAATATTTTGGATACTCTGGTTGTTTCTTTAAATAGATTACGTGTCTACTTTAAGAGGTTACTTTATTGGTAAACTTTAACCCTGATAAGCAAAAAAATACATTGTGTTATGATATACATGTAATATCGATAGATGAAGTTTGAAATATTCTTTTTTTTATAAAATATATCCATGTATAAATATAGACACTAATGTTAAAAGTGTTATGGGAGTACACGGGAGACAATTTAGACCACCACTCCCATTGTCTTCTGCCACCTTCGTCAATGTCCAATGCCGTGTTGTTCGCGACCATCACATTAATGTCTCCAAGCACACTGCCATGATATGGCGTCAACATTGTCATGGATTCAATGTCTATCAACTCACCCATCAATGTGCATGTTTGTGGAGACAATGCCCAACAGTTTTCAACATCATTACATTCGTGAATATAAAATGAAGCACACGACGACTATGGATATCCTAAAATGTAAGCGGATAGGTAGTGATGTTGGGGCAGAGGGAGTAACAGGTACAGTATCATGCAAACCTGCAAGTGTGAGCAAACATTCCAGTTTATAATCTGATAGAATCTATTAGGAAATATAATAACATTGCGATGAGCAGAGATATAAAGAATATGCATTGATGCGTATGGCTTTGATAATGATACGTACAACTTTATGATTCAAGGCAGAACACATGATGATCTATGCATTCCACATTCCCACAAGCATTGTCAAACTAATTGGTCCTGTTGGTAACTTGGTTTCCAAAAAATAACCATAAAGGCTATTTATTCAAAGAAGAAAATATTTTTTAAAGATTAATTTAAGGAGTTTTTCCATTCCCATGTGGAGTCGAAGATTCACTATTTTTTGGCTTTGGGATATCATGGAATAAAGCAAATAGGCTCTCTAAATTGTCTGCGCTTCTTGCAATTGTGAAGTACTAGTTGGTCAATGCAACTTTCGACGCTCATCATGGGTCATCTGGAAACAACCGCTCTATGTTTTAAGCATAGGGGTCAGACTGCGTATGTCCGACCCCCCCTTACCCCGCAATGGGCGGGAGCCGTTGAGGCACTGGGGTAATGTTGTTGTTGTTGTAATTTAAGGAGTCAGAATGGAAAGAGGAAAAGAAAAAGGAAAAACAGAGAAACATTGTCTGTTATGAACGTTATCGACTAGCCACATACGGATCAAATAAAAGAAACAGATACCATTGTATTAATGGATTTAGCCATTTAGGTAGTACTGTAGTAGTGTAATACTCATTAACCATAGTGTAATTCAAATATTACAAAAATCAGATATATGGAGGGTTGAACACGACTATCCGAAAGTGGTTAGGTACCTCGTATGCAGTTATCACAGTAATCACATCCACATAGAATGCAGAAGTCAATGTACTGATCCATTGTAAGTTCCAGCTCTTCTATAACCTGAAATAAAGGTAGTCAATAAAAGTAAATTGAATGATAGCACACAAGTAATCTTTTCAGTGCCATTAGTACCTTTGAAACTTGAATTTCCATTGCAGGTATTGTTTTGGAGCTAGGATCCATCAAATGGAGAAGAGACTTTGGCGAAGAGCTCCAAAGTTTATGGAATCCATAAACCTGGCATTTGTTAAAGTCCAATGATTCTCATGTAGCTAATTCAATATGACAAAGTAGTATATAAATGAAATATATTGGAACGGGTTTCTTTTTGTCGAACTTTACATTTTACTTCCTCCGTTCTAAACTAATTGAACATTGGAATTCTCATGCTTGTCAATGCACAAACTAAATTGTTAATATCTTCAATTATGTTCCGGTAAAAACATAATACCCTTTTCAGCTAAAATTTATGCTGTTTTCACCTCAACTACCGGTACCCCCATCATCCTAAGATGTTTTTTTTGCAATCATCATTGGGCATTGCATACTATGAAAGAACAGTTCCTAATTTGGGTTGAAAGTCCAAACTTCAAAGTGCACACAGAGCTAGAACACAGGTCTCTTAATTCTCAAGTTCACTTCAAAATGTATATTTAGAAGTTTATCTATTTTAACTAAGCTCTCTTAATCTCCATTGAAGTAAGTAAACCTAGTGAGAAGACCTCTCCCCTCTCCAAAGGTATCAGCCTGTGCCGTCTGCATAAACTTATTTAAGAACTGAAAATGTACTGTGAAAACCCATATAATTTCACTTAATAATTGAAATTCCTGAACCTCAAAACAGAACTCATCGAAAATTATAGTTTATTTCTTTCCATGCTTCTATTACTACCCCTGCATCCGGATTTAGTTGTCCACTTCCTAAAAGATCTCATTTTTAAGAAATGAGTTTAAAATGCCAAGTAAGCCCTTCAAATGAGTTTGTCAATCATTCATGTCAACAATGCCCATACTCTATCTCTAGGATATTTTAGACAATTCATTATAATTTCTTTACTGAATATGGAAATTGGACAACTAATTTCGGATAATAAAGTTAACAACTAATCGGGACGGAGGGAGTGATTGCTAAAGTTTGCTATTTATTGACAAGTCATTTCACAGTATATAATAAAGCTGGGGAGGAATTTTGGGTCATTTACCCATAAAAGATGGTCATAAGCTCAAGTGCTCAATCACCCACTCATGAGTCATGAGTTTCTTGAATTTCTTTTGTTTCCCTACAAAATCCTTAAACTTTGGAGCTTCTGGGAAATGAATTTCTTTCCTCTGATGTAAGCCCTAACAAGCTTATCATTAATTTCAAATGCATGGTTCAACCTCTGCGGCTCATTCTTTTGGAGAAAATACTTAAAAATAAGCTAGGACAAACAATAAGCATGTGAGGCAAGTCAAGCAACAAAGATAACAGAGGACTACTAGTCTTGTAATACAGCACTCTCCAGTTAGAAAAGTATAATGAAAATACATCTAATGTGATATTAACAGAAAGCAAGACACACAATCAACCAACCTTTACACTTTTATGTTTGACCTTCAACTTTCCCAATGATGTTAACAGAACCTAAGAGACACTTTCAATGTATGAACTATCACTCTGAGATCTTACCTTAAAATGTTACCCTTCAATTGCTATTTGGACTGTGTTTGTGCTTCACTGCCACAACAGGATCCATGTATTTACAAGTGTGTTGTCAGATATTTAGACTCCATAGCAGCCTAGCTTTTTGCATGTCATTACGAAGACAGGCCTTTTTTTGAATAATAAATCTGGTTGACCAACTTGTGATGCTCACCTCAGCGCTCAACACAAAAAGATGTTTGTGTGTTTCCCAATGAAATATTTAATCGCCTTATCGGGTTTGTGGACAGGGCAAGAAGTATAGAGGACCTTTCGATTCCATTAATTCCAAGAGGCATTGAGACTAAACACCATGAGAATATAGTGACAGGCAGTGCACCCAACACTCTTTGCTCTTACCAATAGTCGCCGCAGGTGCATATACCATCATTGAAATGGTGAAACCGGTTATTGTCCCGTAAAATTATTGATCTCCCCACAAGTTTTGATATAAGTTTGATTGCAGTGTGACAGTCTCCACAAACCCTTAAATTCTTTATAACGCGGATTGGTCTCCCAGAGGGCACATTCAGAATTGCAAATGCAACAGCTAATTTTTCACTATGATACTTGAGCATATGTGCCTTCTCCTCCTCGTCTACATCATGCAAGACTAATTTTGTAGCAACCACATAGCCTTCATGCTTCATCTGCAGTTCTAAGTCTTCCAAGAAAGCATAAATTCTTTCACTGTCTGGATGTGTGGAGTCCCCAGCTGAAAAAATGTGAATCTTGTTTTGCACCTCAACCCAGCTGTACCCAGGAACTTTCCTTGTACCACAATCCCTTAGCTTTAATCTCATCTGGCTCACATCACGCCATCTACCAGAAGCTGCATACAAGTTAGACAAAAGAACATACATCCCGGTATTCCATGGCTCCAATGTAAAAATCTTTTCGGCGGCTTTTTCCCCTAATTCCATATTTCCATGCATCCTGCTCGCCCCAAGGATAGCACCCCATGTGGCAGCATCTGGTTCAAAGGGCATGCTCTTGATTAAATTTTGTGCTTCAGCCAGGCGACCAGCTCGACCCAAGAGATCAATCATGCAAGTGTAGTGCTTTGAATTTGCATCTATCCCATAGTCTACCTTCATAGAATAAAAGTATTGCATTCCCCTTTCAACCAAGCCAGTATGACTGCAAGCAGCGAGTATGCCAACCTAAATAATATAAGATGGCGAATCATATCTAAAAATCATTATCCAAAGAAAAAAGAAGAGCACACCAATGGGAGAAAAACATACACTAGAGAAAGTAGAAGACAACTAAGGAAACATTTTCCCCACAAATTATGGCATGGAATATACACATTGGCATTAAATGACTTGAAGGAAAGGACTACTTACATAATAAAGCAGTATTAACTAAGTACTTGCTTTATTAGAAGACTTGACAAATGTGTGCGTGTGTGTGTTACAGTCTTACATACAGTAAGACAGTCTGCAAGGCAGCCTTAGAACAAGGCATCCAAGTAATATCCATTTCAGATTAGATAAATCTCCCATAAGGCTTTAAGATCTGGAAGCGAAGCATGAGATTAAAAACCTTCAACACTAATGAACCTGGAGATCAATTCATGCCCCACTATACTCCATACATCTTTGCTAATACACCATATGGTATTTCCGTGACTGGGATGTGCATATACTATTATTATTAGATGCAACTTATGGAAAGCTGAAAATAAAAATATACCATAGTAACATCATCAGGATTGATGCCACAGCACTTCATTTCTTCAAAAAAATCTAGAGCCTTTTTGCCATATCCATGCCTTGCGTAACCAGCAATCATTGTATTCCAAGAGACCACATCCTTCTCTGCAATTCCCTTGAATACATCAAGTGCCTCATCAATGCTTCCACACTTGCAATACATTGCTAGGAGTGCATTCCCCACAAAACAGCCCGATTCATATCCTGCCTTTACAAGTCGGCCATGTACTTGTTTGCCCAACTCAAAAACAGCAATATCAGCACAAGTACTTACAGCACATGTAAATGAAGACCTATTGATCCTCTCCCCGTCTCTTGTCAATTCCACAAACATGTGCAGTGCATCTTCACTTTGACCACATTGAACATATCCGGCAATAATTGCAGCCCAAGAAATGCAATCGTGTTGAGGCATACATTCAAACAAGCTCCTTGCACTAACAATATCACTATTTTGAGCATAACCTGTTATCATTGTGTTCCATGAACTAATGTTTTTACAGGGCATTGCCTCAAACAACTCCCTAGCCAAGTCCATCCTTTTGCAATGAACATACCCCGCAATCATTGCATTCCATGAGACCTCATTCTTCACTTGCATCGCATCAAAAATCTCCCTAGCTTCCTCCACTCTACCATTTTGCACATACCCTGAAACCATTGAAGTCCAAGCAAACACATCTCTAACAGGAGAATCATTGAACAACCTTCTTGCTTCATCCAAATCACCATCCTGAGCACAACAGGAAATCATTGTGTTCCATGAAACCTTGTCCCTCACAGGCATTCTTTCGAAAATTGCTCTGGCCTCAGCCAACATCCTCTTCTTTAAATACCCACCCATCAAACAATTCCAAGAAACCACCTCCCAGCTTTCCTTCAACTCAAACAATCTCCTAGCCACTTCAATCAACCCATTACGCACATATGTGGCAAGTAGTGCATTCCATGAAATCTCATTCCTCACAGGCATCATATCAAAAATCCACCTCGCTTCATCAATATGCCCATTTTGTGCATACCCAGAGAGCATAGTGTTCCACGAGACCACATCTCTCTCAGGCATTTGGTCAAACAACAACCTAGCTGCCCCAAGATTCTTGTTCCTCACATGCCCACTCAACATCAGGTTCCAAGAAACCAAGTCCCTTTGCGGCATTTGATCAAACAGATGCAGGGCGAAGTCGAACCTGCCGTTCAACAAGTACCCAGAGATCATCGAGTTCCAAGAGACACTGTTTTTCAGAGGCATGGAATTGAATAAGCTCAATGCAGATTCACATTCCCCATTCCGCATGTGTTTGGTGATTGCCATATTCCACTTCACTACGTCTGAACCTGCATTTATACTTGAACGCTTAGCAGCCTCGGATAGTTTTCTGGTGAGAATAAGAGGTTTTGCCGCTTTGAAATTGGTTACAAGGTCATTTTGACGTGAGCGCGAGGTGTATATTTGTCTGAGGCGCATGGTTGAGCAACCGTCTTGGTGGACGCAGCCTTTAAAAGCAGTTGCTCTTAAAATGGGCGTGTACAAATAGTAGATGAATGAGAGGGGTGCTAATGAAGACAAAGTTTATAGTCGAACCAGTAGGCATACTCCCCTTTTTCAATGATCTAGTAATTTACTCGAGTGGAACAAAATTTTTATTGATTTTTTGAATTATCATCAATATAATAGTTTTAAATGAGTATGGAAATATATGTAAAGTGTTCTTTAATATTGTAGATATTAAAATCAAAGTAAAACAAATAATTTAGCATTTAATATTGGTTATAAAAATGCTTATATATAAATTCAAAACTAAACACAAAGTCTTTTTAAAATTCATATTTTTTGAAAGACTTCAGGGAATATAACATTTTGGTATGGTTGAAGAGATTTTCATTACTGTATTATTTAGAACTAATATTTTTAACCCTATTTTAGTTTTCACTCGTGAAACAATGACATAAAGTTGATTAAGAGTGAACTTCAACCCAGTTAAAAGTAATCCAACAAATGATAATATTTGACATTGACTTTTATCCATAGTCATAACAAAACGTAAAACGTTCATCGTCGTATATCTTCCTCTGGTTTTCAATCATTGTAGATATATATTACTTCTTAAGTCCTAAAACTATCTTTCCAGTTGTTCATTTTTAATGTTCAAAAACTACCTTCTCACATCCCAAAAAAAGGTGTAAAATGACTATCCTACCCTTACAGCATCTACCCCCTCCCCAACCTTCCCATTCTTTCAATTCCCCTCCTCAAAACCTAGAACAATCTAGGAATCAAAGTTGCAACCATCATCGTTCTTGAGATCATCTTATCATCATCAGCTCCTCCTCCACACTCGGAATCTCGGCATCTCAGCATCTCCACTCGGCATCTAGGGATTGGAGTTGAAGGAAGGACGCTGGTGGGAGTAGTAAGGTCGCCGATATGTGATTCGAACTCTAAATAGCTTCACGAAGTTGGAGATGATGATGAGCTTCATTAGCCATTACCTTCCATCGAAATTGGCCTAAGTAAGTTTTTTCTATAGCCATCTAGAGTTTTTTTCAATTGTTTTTTAATCAGAACTCAATCCTTTTTCGATTGGTTATTCAATCCATTACTCATCAATTATTTTTCTATTGGCCAGAATTTACATGCCGCTTCATTAATAGTTGTGCTTTTTTGAGCATGCCAAACATGTTAATTGCCTGTTCGTGACCTATGTGTGACTTTTATTGTCAGAACTTCTCACTCAGCGTGAAAGCTAAGTGTGTAGTTTGTTTTACTTGCTACGCGTAGGTAACATGAATGGCGAATAAGAGAACAATCTTAGAGGGCAGCGAGGATGAAGAGATGGGTGGATGCTTTTAAATTCTATAGAATGACAATGAACTCCGTAATACTTAAAACTATAAATATAATTTTATAAATTTAAAAGTAAATGTTTTCAATTATTTATAATTATTTAGAAGAATAGCATGTAAATAAAATGTTTAATAATTGTTAAAAAAAATTACCCTAAATAGGTGCAAAACATAAATAAAATACCAAAATAGAAACTCTTTCTCTATGTTTTACTCCTATTTAGGGCATTTTCTTCAACCTTTATTAAATACTTCGTTTACATGATATTCTTTTAAATAATTATAAATAATCTCAAATGTTACTTTCGGATTTATAAAATTATATTTATAGTTTTTTAGTATTATATTATCATCCTATAAAATTTAAAATATTTTTTCATAATTTATGTATTTTTATTTTGAAAATAGACCAATTTGAAAAAACACCAAATCAGAAAGTATCATTTTGGGAAGTAGTATAAAGTTCAACGTCTTTTTAACATCATTTAACGGCCATTAGTCAGGAGACTGAACTAAGTATTATTTTCAATTATCAAGTACCATTTCAAGATTTGTTAATTTTGAGGACTAATTTAAAAAAAAACATATACTCTGTAATTATTAAGTATCATTCTGAGAATTTACTCTTTTTTAAACAAAACATTGTATATGCCAAAAAAAGGATGTGGCACTACAGTGTCAACCGGAGCCATATGCTCTAGAACTATTCTGTGTATGGGGAATACATGAATGTCAAAATTACCCAACTCGTCTAAGAAAACATAGGAAACCCTCCACGATAAATCTACCAGCACAACAAATAGATTTATAGTCCAACAACGTCATCTTAACTAGCTAAAATAGGAAGTCACAAATTTGATCCCCAATGAAGATAGTAACTCTCTGCACTTAAATATGTCGAGGAAATAGATATGGAGTACTACAGAGTACATTGCAAGGAGTAACAACGTTCTTAGTGATAAAAAAAATCTACACGATGCAAGAGCAAACTCTCATGTTTTTAATTTTCTCATTCGTCATTCACAAAGTATAACCATTCCTTGTTTTTTTCATATATAGTTTCATTGATCATTTAATTAATATAAAATTATGTCTCCTCTTTCATCATTTAACTTTTGATATAGTTTATAAGTATATAAATCTTATTTTTTAAATTTTACATCAATATTTAAACAAATTAGAATTAAAAATAATTTCAATCAAATATCATCATCCAAAACAGACGGAACCGAGGGAGTAATATAGAAGGACAAAATGATGGCACACATCCATTTCAAATATGAATTCAAAATCATGCATGCCATTGCCATCTATGAAGAACCCATATGTTTGCGTTAATCTCACCTTCTGAAACCCTGTTTGGTTTTACTACCCAATCAACTATTTCTTCTTATTCTTCTTCCCGCCCCCGGCTTTTGATTTCTTGTTTGCCACTCCTTTATCAGCAGCCCCAGTTGTCTCCTGCCACCAAAATAGGACAGCAATTTAGTGTAGGACTTGGATTGAATAGGCATATTACAACGGCATGTTCCCAATCACTTAGGGCCTGTTTGTTGAGTTTGATACAGATTGATTTCATTGTCACACACCCAAAAAAGGGTTCACGTATTGGGAGATATCGGAATTCATATCTCATGCGCTCACCAAACATGCCCTTTTTAGTTGTTTCAGAAATTTGTATGGAGACCACACTCAAAACTCAACCATTCATGGTATTTGTACAAACATTAAATGTTGTTAAATTAGTACAAACTAGCGGTAATGAATATTGAGCATCAACACACTTATGAAAAAGATTCTACGTTGCCAACAGAAGCCAAAGACGTACTTAAGATGTAGGTTCGTCAAGTTTTACAGTACCATATGCTGGAGCAGACAGTTTTGTTAAACGGTAGGGTAGTGGCTAATTTGAACCCAAATCTAAGGATCCCAGGATTGGGCTGCAAAAGACCTTTGGGCAAAAAGGAAGCTTGTACGGAGAGCATTCTAAACTTTGTTATTGGAATTGGAGACACAAGAACACATTTGGTGACCTGTGAGGCCAATATTGGAAACATTTAGGCATACATGTACAGTAGAAGTGTAGAATCAAAAACAATAAGGGATTCTCTAGAACTCTACTTGGCTATTTCAATCATGTCTAGGAAAACAATAAGGATGTCATACAGGATTGCATATTCTTCACATTTGAGTTTTTTCCAAGTCTCGTCTCTCAACAAGCAAATGACTTGATGACTTTACACAACTTTGTTTTTGTCACAAGACAGTTCATCCAAAAACACAAGTCAATGCTTACAGAATTTATAGTAATTTCAAAACAAATAGAAGCTTAGCAGTTTGTATTGCCTTAATCAGAAAGATGGGCCAAATAGCTCCAGTGCCCCCTTGTGGTTCGGAAAACTGGCACCAATATCCGCTCTGTTTTCCAAATTTATTTCTAAATCCCCGTGGTTTGAAAACGTTGCACCCACACTCCCTCTGATCACTTTCTGGCGAAAGGGGGGTATTGGTGCCTATTTTCCAAACCATGGGGCGCAACAGAGCTCATTTCCCAATTTTTATTTACTTTTTTGATTTTTTTCTTTTTTTAAACTCTTTTTTCCTCTCTTTGTTTCCTTTTCTTAGAGAAGTTTGTTTTAATTTCTTTTCTAAACTTTTTTATAATGTTTTTTCAAAATTCAAAATTGTTTGTGTTTGAAATAAAAATAAAAAATGTAAAAATTAACATATACTCCATCTATCTCAAATTAAACATGTTCAATATTTTGTTTTCTAGAATTAAAAAATAAACTTGTTTTGGGGAGTTCAAAAACAAAAATCTAGAATAAAAAAATTAAAAGCATGGAAAAAAAATATTAGAAAAACTGAAACATACAAAAGATACTCTTATACAAAAAAGAATTTTGGAATGTCAAAAAAAAGTCCATGGGATTGGGATGTCCAAAAAAAGGATCCATTTTATTTTTTTATTTTATTTTATTTCCTATTTTATTTCTCATTTTTTGAAGTTCCCAAAAAAAGGTTTTAGTTTTTATTTCGGCAAACAAAAAAAATTGTATTTGAGACATACAAATGTTGTATTTTTTAATTATATTTAATTTCAAACAAAAACAATATTAAATTTATAAAACATTATAAAAAACAATTCTAAAAAAGAAATTTAAAAACCTTGATAGATAAAAGAAACAAATAGAGAAGAAAGGGGGAAAACGAAAAATAAATGGAAAATGAGAAATGAGCACCGGTGCCCCCTACGGTTTGAAAAAATAGGCACCAATGCCCCCCTCTTTGCAGGATAAATGGCCGGGAAATAATTAGAGGGGTGCGTGTGCAACGTTTTGAAACCACAGGGATTTTAGAAATAAGTTTTGAAATTAGAAGGGGTAATGCCCATTTTCCAAACCACATGGGGGCACTGGAGCTATTTGGCCTCGAAAGATGCAAACAAATTGAGGAGGAAGAGGTTAGAGAATATTGTGACTTAAGAAGGATGAGATTGAGTTATTACTTCTCTCGATCCCAGAAGTTGCAGATAAAGGGTAAAAAGTGTGCGCCACAACAAGGCCCTTAGACGCAAGCACGAGGGAACACAAGTGTTCAAGCTTCTCTCATTATTGTATGGGAAGTGCGGTTTAAGCAGAAGTATGACAATGTCACAAGACTTGAAACATTCACCACTTTTTAAAAAATGCATGCGTCATAATTGGCTATGGTTCTACAAACATTATAGGGGTTTTTTAAATAAAAGGACTTTAATACAAATGGTACCTTTCTTTTAGCTGGCACAGATGCGCTACTACTAGCAGCTGGTTTGAAGAACGATTCTAACCTGTTCAGGAGGCAGATCCTAACATGTTATTAGGATATATAAAACATATAAGTTGAAAGCTTATAGTCTCATATGCATGCAAACCATACCGGCCCTGAGAAGACTTATTCTTAGCTGCCTTGATCTTTTCTATCGCCTGAAAAACAAGACAAGACAGAGTGAAGATCCTTCAGAGACAGCCAAAATGGCACTTAGTTTCTACTCTTTGGACCCTTCAAATAAAAAGCATGAGCAGTAGATAGCATTTGCTACCTTGGTCACTCTGTCTTTGTTGAATCCATTTTGGTCAACCAGGAATTCAACCAACCCCTAAAAGATAATTATAAAGATAACATTTATCAATAAAACGAATGACATTTATTGGAAAGTTTAAATGACACGTCCAGTGCCTCACCTAGTTAATTGTTTATGCCATCTTAGCCATGTAGTTATATGTGCCTACACATTTTATTGTGACAATCTGACCATCATGCAGAGCATTATCAACCATTCGAAGGCCTTTAAATCTCATCTCATTATTTCGACATAAAAAGGTTTCCAAAAATAAAACAATGCCAATCATCCTGAATGTCATTGCTTTTGATACACCATAACACATGACATTATCAACCACCCTAAATTGATTGTTTTGGAATTTCATATTTCATTCTTTTGTAAATAGATTGCAACATTTCATATAGTGAACTAAATTTAGACATTGAATTGACAATTTATATTTTATTTCATTGACCTCAATATTGTTTCTAGTCGGGATAAGATGATGAAGATAATAATGGTGAAATTGCATATTGAGCAAAGTTCGCTTGTGTTCCCCTAAATTCTATGATTAACCACTTAACCTTTATGAAACCATGATTTCTCCTAAAACTGTGAGTCACAACTCAAACTACTGAGTGAAATTGACTCCCTAAAATTCCAGTGTCTCTTCTAGTTATCCTTTTAATTCATTCCCATGATACAAAGAACCAAGGTACATAAACTTTTTGGTTCTGTTTGTTATATATTTTAGTGTAATTGGAAAAACTATTTGACCAATGGTATCACAACAATCATCAAAGAAGTTTGGTGGTGCGGAGTGCACGCTTCGTTGAGTTTTTTATGATAAAAGTCCCGTCTTAACGGGGGTTTGTTGACTTTTTTGGTCAAACTATGGAACCCTTTGACCACGAATTAAATATAGTTTAAAATAATTAGATATTATAAAAATTTGATATTTCAACTAAATTTACATTATAACTAAATTTACAATATAACTAAGTATACATTTTCTATAATTTTGGGTCAAAGGGTGCCACAGTTTGACTTAAACTCTGGCAATCTTTTAGGGACGGAGGGAGTAAATAAGAACTGAACGGATTGTTTCACACGATTGAGATTTGAGACGACTTTTTTTCTCCATTCTTACCAAACACCTTTACTGGAGGAGTCATGGTGCGACTACTGAATGTAATTATTTCTTGAAAATAAGTTCTCACATACACTCTCTACAACATTCACGCTCAAATGAATGTCTTTTAACTGCTACACAAGATCATTAGCTTTTTCCCGTTGAGTCAGTTGTTAATACTCCTTCCGTTCCTTTTTCATATTTACCTGCTTTGGTTAACCAAGTTTTCTTATTCCTTTTTATTTGTCTACTATTTTTTAAACACTCTTTGGCTTATTTACCCTTATACTATTTGGTTTATCTTTATTCCAGGAGGAACATATAGGGGAAGGTGTCTCTTAATAGGGACAATTTAGATAAACGATTAATGTCTTGATTCATTTATCACCCCAATTCATTTCCTTAAGTTGTGTGATTAGTAGGGATAACAATATGAACATAGGAGTATAAAAATGGAAGATGAAGAATGCCATTTTTCAATTAAATAAATTGTTCCGAAGGAAGTAAAACCACCTCTTCATCAGGAGCACCCCATTTGAGCTCAGGTTGATCGTCGCCCTTTAGGACTAGAGGTTCTTTAAAAAGACGTCTAGCCTCTTCGTATGGCCACTCATTTGGTATCTGATATCTGCAGAAATATATATTACAAACAGTTGAAAAAAAGTTAGATGTTCAAATGTAAGCAATATTCATGTTTTTCACATAAACAGAAAAATATCAGGAAAAATATAGCAAAGAAACTGAACAAGCAGTTTTGACTATAAATCTACAGCTTATAGATACATATGTTCCACGCTATCAAGTGAAATTGATCAGCAACCTATGTTCCATGCTATCAAGTCCAATGGAACCCTCCAAAATGTATACATAAAATAAAACAGTTATACTGGTTGCTCTTATTTAATACTCCCTCCGTCCCAACTCCCAAACTCATGTGAATAAGCCAAAATTTCTCTACCTAATTCTCTAATACCAATACAACTTGTTAAAAAGTTATTCTAAATTGAATGTTATGCCGATTTTACCCCTAAAAGTTAAAACAAACAAAAGTAGTCTCAAATCTCAAAGCATTACTCATAGGTGACATGATGTTCTGGGAACAACTCCAAGAGTCCAAGGTCCCTGTAATTAAGAAATTAAAACTATGGTCCTTAGATTGTACAGTAAATATCGAAGGATGACATCCCGTGCTAGGAATTGATTTTTTGACGCAACTTTGGCTCGATGATTTATTTTATTTTAGTTCATGTTATTCATAAAAAGCCATTGTGTACCCTTCCTCTTCTTTCTTTCCCACGATTCTCCTTTTCCATCTTTCTAACTCACACAGTCAGAGCCCATCTCTTATTTCTCTCTCATCATTTACTCAATTTCTTTCATCATCTCCCAAAGATTTCATTCTCTTTGAAATAGGAAAATGAATTAGAGTGCCTGCAAGATCAGTACCCTGCAACTTTGGCTTGATTGAAAAATTAGTGGAAGCCATGAAGAGATGAGGGGCTGATAACAACAACAACAACCCAGTTGAATCCCACAACAGTAGGGTCTGGGGAGGGTGTGTGTACGCAGACCTTGCCCCTACTCGGAAGTAGGGAGGCTGTTTCCAAGAGACCCCCGGCTCCACCTGCACAAAAATATGGAAGAGAACACAGTATAGCACAGATAAGGCACCAAGTACAAGCAACAAGTACAAACAATAGCAAAAGATTCCCAACAAATACAACACACTACAAAACAACCTCTACAACACCGAGCTCCTATCCAGCTACTCTAATCCTAGTTCTCCAAAGGTTCCTATCTAGGGCCATATCCTCAGTCAGGTCGAGAAGTCCTAAATCCTGTCTTATCACCTCCTCCCAATTCTTCTTAGGTCTACCCCTTCCCCTACTTCCCCCGATAACCGTAATCCTCTCGCATCTCCGTACAGGGGCGTCAGCATCCCGCCGTCTCACATGGCCAAGCCA